CAGCCCCCCCGCCGCCGGCGACGAGCTCCATGAAATCGAGCCGCACCTCCGTGAGGAGACCGGCCTCCTCCGCGTCCGCCTTGAGGATGCGAACGCTGGCCGTGTCCCCGTCGACCGCGTTGATCCGCCCCACCGTGCCCTCAAAGAGGCCACAGCGTCGCAAGACCACCACGTCGCCAGCGCCCACGGCCCGCCGACGGGCCCCCGCAGCCTGCGCCGTCGACCGCTGCAGGCCGTCGGCCCAGGAGTCGTCCATGGGGTCGCCGTCGGGCGGCGCGGCCGCCGCGGCTGCACCAGCCGCAGCTCCAGCTTCGGGGTCCCCCACGCCAGCCTCCGCCGCCGCCCCAACTCCACCAGGACGAGCACCTCCCCGAGAAGCGGGCGCTACCGTCGCCGACGACGCCTGGCCAGGCCGTGCCGGGCGCCGAAGCCGCCGAGCCGTGTAGTCGCCGCTGTTGCGCCGCCCGCTCCTCCATCCTGCTGCTCCTCCGCGTCGTCGCCGTGGGCGCCCGGCACGGCAGGCGAGGGCCCGGCGCCGCGCCCCGCGCGGCCGCGCGGCCGGTGGCGCCTCCGAGGGAGCGCCGCGGCCGCCGGCTCCGGCGGGGTGGGCGCTGCCTTCGTGCCGAGCTCCACGACCGCTGCCCGGAGCAGCCCCTCGGCGGCCCGCAGCATGCGCACTCCCGACCGGGAGTGGCACGCCGCGAGCCCGCTGGCAGCGTGCGCCGCCAAGAGAGCGCCGCGGGCCGCCTCGGCGGCAGCGCGGGCTCCGGAGGGACCGGCCATCGCTGCCCTTCCTCAGCCTCCACCTGCTGCCGGGGTAGCAGGCGGGCGGGTCTGTGCGGGCGCGCGGCCTGCGTCGGGGGCGCGGGCGCGCGCGGCGGGGCCAGCGTGCACGCCTTGGGCCAGTATGCCGACTATGATGATGCAGATGATGATGATGATGATGATGATGATGATGATGATGATGATGATGATGATGATGATGATGATGATGATGATGATGATGATGATGATGATGATGATGCCGATGATGATAATGATGATGCTGATGATGCTGCTGATGCTGATGTTGATGATGGTTATGCTGATGATGATGATGATGATGATGATGATGATGATGATGATGATGATGATGATGATGCCGATGATGATGATGCTGATGATGATGCTGATGCTGATGTTGGTGCTCACGACGATGACGATGGCGATAACGATGCCGATGATGCTGATGCTGATGGTGATGTTGATGCTGATCATGCTGATGATGCCGATTATGAGGATGCTGATGATGATGCTGCTGATGATGATGCTGATGATGCTGATGATGATGATGATGCTGACGCTGATGGTGATGATGATGCTGATGCTGATGATGCTGACGATGATGATGATGATGATGATGATGATGATGATGATGATGATGCTGGTGATGATGATGATGACGATACTGATGAGAACGATGCTGCTGATGATGATGCTGATGCTGATGATGATGAACATGTTGGTGATGATGAGGATGATGCTGCTGATGCTGCTGCTGACGATGATTATATCGATTATGGTATACACGAACATGAGACCGAGTCATGCTGCTGCGAATGAGCATGTATGATGATTGTGACGGCACCGACGATGATGGTGACGATGATCATGGCGATGATGATGGCGATGCGTACACGTATGCACACGGTTGGCAGTGTCTAGTAGTACGTGCGTGTTTTTATTAGATGTATCATACATGTTCAGACGGTAATTGCGCGGGACCTCTCATGCTTCTGATCTCCTTGCTTTCCCAGTCCTTCGGGGAGGAGGGAGAGGCGGATGCAGGAGGACGAGGAGGGAGAAGGATGACGATGGAGGACGGCCTGAGGCAACATGCGGACGCGGGATTCGGTTAGGAGCAGGATGTGCAGACATTGGGGGTATCTTGACCAGTGCACCATATAGCTTTCCGTTGAAATATTGCCGACAGGACTTGTACAAGATCTTGGGGGTGCCGAAGGGCGCAAGGCCAGATGATATCAAGAAGGCGTACAGGAGGGGCTTGGAGCTTATTCTGCATGTCGTGTTAATTGCCGCCCACGCCGACAAAGTAGCAGTAATGAGTGGACTGGGGGGAGGAGGATGAGGAGGAGGAGGAGGAGGAGGAGATTGAGGAGGATGAGGAGGAGGATGAGGAGGAGGATTGAGCATGAGTAGGAGGAGGATGAGAAGGATGAGAAGGGGTAGCGGATATAATAGGAGGAGGAGGGGGAGGATGACGACAGTGATGAGGGTGAAGAGCAGGGATGGTTGGAGATCAAGGCGAAGACGGGATGACGATGTTGCGGGTGATGATGATGATGATGATGATGATGATGATGATGATGACGATGAAGTTGATGGTGATGATGTTAACGATGGTGTTGCTATTGATGATGATGATGCTGAGGATGCTGATGCTGATACTGATGATGCTGATGATGATGCTGCTGATGATGTGGATGATGATGATGATGATGATGATGATGATGATGATGATGATGATGATGCTGATGCTGATGGTGCTGCTGATGCTGATGATGCTGATGATGCTGATGCTGATGCTGATGTTGATGCTGAAGCTGATGCTGATTCTGATGCTGACGACGATGACGCTGCTGTTGTTGACGAGATCATGCTGATGATGATGATGATGATGATGATGATGCTGATGATGTTGATGCTACCGATGCTGATGACGCTGAGGATGCTGATGCTGATGCTGATGATGCTGATGATGATGGTGACAATTATGATGATGCTGATGCTGATGCTGGAAGTGCTGATGCTGATGATGCTGCAGATGCGGCTGCTGCTGATGATGCTGATGCTGATGATGCTGATGATGCTGATATGGATGATGCTGATGCTGATGCTGATGATGCTGATGATGCTGATGCCGATGCGGATATGGATGATGCTACTGATGATGACGATGACGATGTCGATGATGATGATGATGATGATGATGATGATGATGATGATGATGATGACGATGATGATGATGATGATGATGGTGATGATGATGATGATGATGATGATGATGATGATGCTGATGATGATGATGATGATGATGATGCTGATGCTGATGCTGATGATGATGATGATGATGATGATGATGATGATGATGATGATGATGATGATGCTGATATTGATTTTGATGATGCTAATGAGGATGAGGAGGAGGAAGGATGGGGGAGGGGCATGGGGCTGGGAATGAACGAATGAGGACGAGGATGAGGAACGGGTCGAAGGGAGGAGGAAAGGGAAGGATGAGCTGGACGCTGGGGAGAGGTGCAGTTGGATGACGAGTATAGGAGAGGGATGATGATGATGCGGATGCTGCTGATGATGATAACCGTGACGACGCTGATGAAGATGGTGCTGATGCTGATGATGCTGATGCTTCTGATGATGATGATGCTGATGCTGATGATCATGGCGCTGATGCTGATGATGCTGCTGCTGATGATGATGATGCTGCTGATGCTGCTGATGCTGCTGCTGCTGATGCTGATGATGATGCTGATGCTGATGCTGATGATGCAGATGCTGATGCTGATGATGATGCTGATGATGATGCTGATGATGATGATGATGATGGTGATGCTGATGACGATGATGACGACGCTGATGATGATGCTGTTGATGATGAGGATGATGACGGTGATGATGATGCTTCTGATGCGGATGAGGATGATGACGTTGACGCTGATGGTGATGATGATGCTGATGATGATGACGATGCTGCTGATGATGATGTTGGTGTTGATGAGGAAGAGTATGCGGACGAGGAGAATGATGATGATGATGATGATGCTGATGCTGTTGCTGCTGCTGATGATGCTGATGATGGTGATGATGATGATGATGATGATGCTGATAATGCTGCTGCTGATGATGATGACCATGCGGATGCTGATGATGATGATGCTGATGATGATGCTGATGATGATGATGCTGCTGATGCTGCTGATGCTGCTGCTGCTGATGCTGATGATGCTCATGCTGCTGCTGATGATGATGATGATGCTGCTGATGCTGATGCTGATGCTGCTGCTGATGATGATGACGATGATGATGATGCTTATGATGATGATGATGATGATGATGATGATGATGATGATGATGATGATGATGATGATGATGATGATGCTGATGCTAATGATGATGATGACGATGCTGATGGTGATGATGATAATGATGATGATGGTGCTAATGACGAGAATGATGATGATGATGATGATGATGATGATGATGATGATGATGATGATGATGATGGTGCTGCTAATGATGATGATGATGATGATGATGCTGATGATGATGATGATGATGATGATGATGGTGGTGGTGGTGGTGGCGGTGGTGATGATGATGATGATGATGATGATGATGCTGATGGGGATGATGATGATGATGATGCTGCTGATGATGATGATGCTGATGCTGATAATGATGATGGTGATGATGATGCTGATGAGGCTGATGATGATGATTATGATGCTGATGCTGATGATGATGATGCTGATGCTGATGATGATGATGATGATGATGTTGTTGATGATGATGATGCTGCTGGTGATGGTGATGATGCTGATGATGATGATGATGATGATGGTGATGATGATGATGATGATGCTGATGCTGCTGCTGATGATGATGCTGCCGATGATGATCATGATACTGACGATGATGATGATGATGATGCTGATGATGATGATGATGATGATGATGCTGATGATGCTGGTGATGATGATGATGATGCTGATGCTGCTGCTGATGATGATGATGATGATGCTGATGATGATGATGATGACGATGATGATCATAATACTGATGATGATGATGATGATGATGATGATGATGATGATGATGATGATGATGATGATGATGATGATGATCATGATGATAATGATGATGATGATGATGCTGATGCTGATGATGATGATCACGGGCGAGGGAGGGAGGAGGAGGAGGAGAGGAGGAGGAGGAGGAGGGGAGGAGGGGGAGGGGGGAGGAGGAGGAGGAGGAGGAGGAGGAGGAGGAGGAGGAGAGGAGGAGGAGGAGGGAGGAGGGAGGAGGAGGAGGAGGAGGAGGGGAGGAGGAGAGAGGAGGAGGAGGCGGAGGAGGGGGGGAAAGGAAGAGGAGGAGGAGGAGGAGTAGGAGGATGAGGAGTTGGAGGAGGAGGAGGAGGAGGAGGAGGAGGAGGGCAGGAGGAGGAGGAGGAGGAGGAGGAGGAGATGGAGGGGAGCAGGAGGATGAGGAGGGGGAGGAGGGAGGAGGAAGAGGAGGAGGAAGAGGAGGATGATGAGGAGGAATAGTAATACTACTACTAATCTTAATACAACTAAGCATAGTAATAATACTACTAATACGAGTACTACTACTGATAAAAAGCTTATGACATATATGACGAATAAGAGAAGTACTACGAAGACGACAAAGCTGAACACTAATAGTAATAATGATACGAATAATAAACAGACGAATCATATTCATAAGCATAATATTCGGAATAATATCCAAAATCGTGAAGAACATAGGAATAATACGGATCGCAACAATAAGTAAACGAATCCAACACAATAATACAAAGACGAGGTGGAGGACAGGGAGGAGGAGGAGAGAGGTGGAGGACAGGAGGAGGCGGAGGAGGGAGGAGGAGGAGAGAGGAGGGAGGAGGAGGAGGAGGAGGAGGAGGAGGAGGAGGAGGAGGAGGAGGAGGAGGAGGAGGAGGAGGAGGAGGAGAGGAGGAGGAGGAGGAGAGGAGGAGGAGGAGGAGGAGGAGGAGGAGGAGGAGGAGGAGTAGGAGGAGGAGGAGGAGGAGGAGGAGGAGGAGGAGGAGGAGGAGGAGGAGGAGGAGGAGGAGGAGGAGGAGGAGGAGGAGGAGGAGGAGGAGGAGGAGGTGAGGAGGAGGAGGAGGAGGAGGAGGAGGAGGAGGAGGAGGAGGAGGAGGAGGAGGAGGAGGAGGAGGAGGAGGAGGAGGAGGAGGGGAGGAGGAGCGAGGATGAGGAGAAGGGAGGAGGGTTGCAGGAAGCTGTCCCTGAAGCACCACCCTGACAAGAACCAGGGCGACCCAGACGCGAAGGAGAAGTTCCAGAGGATCGCGGAGGCGTTCGCCGTGCTGTCGGACAGCAAGAAAAGGCGCGCTTTCGCACTCGAGCTTTCTGGAGGGCACAACCCACTGCACAATGCTAGAATGCACAGCATCCCGTCTCACGTTTTCGGGCTCCGATCTGCATTTTAGGCTCCAAGGTGGCCCCGAGATTACCCAAACTTGCCTCAAGAGGGTCCCAAGAGAGCCCCAGAAGTCCTCAATAGGGAGCCCCACGAGGCCGCAAGACTGAACGCGTGCGTATCCTTGCCATCCTTAGCGACCCTGGCGTGTCTCATGCCAGTTGGCGTTCGTCTGGCACGCTGGATGTTGCGTGATGTTCCAATCGTTTCTGCCGTCTTCCCTCACTCTTTCCTCTGTTCTTCCCCCTTCCGCATCCTCTTCAACACTCCAGAAGGCGGCGGCCCAGTTGGTCGACTCCAGCAAGCCCTCCACCAACAGGGCTGGACGGCCCTCGTTCAGGACCATGCGCGACGATTGGGGCACGACCCTCAAGTGGCTGGATAACCCTACCGCCAGCTTCCCGCAAAGCTCAGGGAGTCCCAGCGACGCGCTGTTGTTGCGCAAGTTCCCTGCCACCCCGAAGCGATCTCGGGGTGTCTCGCTGCAGTGAAACAATGACCCGACATGTACACCAAAAGCGTGGTCGGCCCGCGCAAAGGCCGTACTAGTGACGGCGCAGTCTGCTCTTCAACGCCCCGGCGGGTGACGACCATTCCCAGCAGCAGAAGGGAAGGGCAGGGGGATGTCCGCGGACGAGTCCGCCTTCTGCCTGTGGTGCGAGCAAAGATTAGGCGATCGCAGACATGGATTAAGGGGGCGTGGATTAGCGACGGGATTAAGCGGGCGTGGATTAGCGACGGGTCCCGTTTCCATGGGACATCGTGGATTTCTGCCGCCGAGCGAGGCGGCACCGGCCGCATTTTGGGGAGGGCACCTCCCCCGATCCATGGATCTGGCGACCGCGCGCCAAATCCATGGATCGCTAACCCATGCTTGCGGCGCCCCCGATAAGAGCAGGAGACCCAGGGACGCGCCGTCCGACGGTGCCCCTGCGGGGCTCCCCAGCAGGTCGCCATCTGCAGCCGGTGCCTTGCCGGCCACTGGCAGCGGCTTCCCTTCGGAGAGGACCCCCAGAGGCTGCCGCGGCCGTGGCTGGGCACGCACCAGCTTGGCCCGTCCATGGCTGGCGCGGGCGGCATCCGGTGTCCCCTGCGGGCTGCGGCTACGGCCTGACCCGGAACGCCTAGTTCACTCGGACCCTAGTGGTCCTGCCCCTCGTGGCCCTGCCTGAATGCCCGACCTATCTCTTCATCGACAACCAGTGTGTGATAGTTGGCCTGACCTCGTTGCTCGCTGGCAGCCCCCATTCGGGTGGCCCGCACGCATACTCGTGGCACATACCTGTACGGTACTGAAAGTCATGCCACATTTCAGTCGCGTGGAGGAGGTGGCTAGCCATCTGGTGCAAGAGGGCATCGACGCGGGCCTCGTGTCCGTCATGGGGAACTTTTCGACCGCGGGCCGACGCATTGGCCACGGCCGCCGTTGCCACCCGCGACCTGCCCGCCGAGCTGGTCTCCGAGGCCAGGCGGCGGCTCGAGCTGACAGCTGCCCTCCAGCTCGCAGCTGCCAACACCTGCAGACGCCACTGCCTTGCCCTGGCTGCTGCCTCACCGGCCCGCGGGGTCTACGCGGCGAAACTCGCCGCTGCGGGCCGCCCCCCATGCCGCCCCCCTACCAGCAGGCTGAGCTCGACCGCTTGGAAGGAGCGTCCACTGAGGCGGATGCGACGGGCGTCCACGGCCCGCCCTGCCTCGGGGGCGACATGCACACCATGTCGTGGCCCCGCCGCCACGGCGGTGGCCCAGGCATCCACGACGGGTCTTCGGCCTCGGTGGTGCCTCGGGCGAGGACGACTGGGGCCAGGCCAGGCTTCCGCCCTTCCTCGGCCCCGTCGCTGCGCTGGCGGCTCAGCCGCGGCACCCACGCAGCGCCGGCAGCCAACGCCCGAGCCTCTGGCCGTGCAGGCCGGCGCCGCTTCGCCGCTGGCCGCGCCTGTCCCGCACGTCTCCCCCACCGCGAGCCCAGCTCCGCGCCCTGCCGCGCCAGCCCTGAGAGGAGGGAGATCTGCCAGCACCGCTGCCCGTCGCCGCGGCTGGATTCGCCTCGACATCCTGGTCAGAACGCCTCCTCCTCCTCCTCCTCCTCCTCCTCCTCCTCCTTCTCCCAGGTCTGGAGAGAAGCGACATCGGCGTCTCTCCGTTTCCCCAGGGCCCCTCGGGGCCCCCAGGCTGCGGCCCCAGCCTGCACGAGCCGGCCACCGCGCCCAGCGCCGCGCCCGTGTGGAGCTCGAGGCCCAGGTGCGCACGCTTCTTCGAGGCCCAGGCTCGGCGGCCACGGCAAGCCCAGGGCCGACGGCCTCACGGCTACCCAACGGCTCCGTTTGGCGCTCCGCGAAGGATTTCCTGGAACCTCGCTGGGCCCCCCCCCCTGGCGGCGCCTCCGGCGCCGTCTCTGGCGCGCTCCGCTCGCCAGGGAGGGGAGCCCAGCGCAGCTCCAAGAAATCCTTCGCGGAACGCCAGAAATTTGTATGTTGTGCCGTTTTTTCTTCTCCTATCCGTGGCCGCCTCGCGCGGCAAAGGGTTGAAGGCCTCGCAGATCCACAAGCGCGTTGGGCCACGTAGCTGCGTCGGCTCCCAGCACGGCTGCTGCCGCTGAACTGGCTGACGCTAGCCGTTGCCCGGTAGGCCCGGCGGGCCCTCCGCTTCGGCGGCGACACCTGCTGCCGTCGCATGTGCCGCCCCCTCGGGGACGCTGGCGACTGCGGGCGGCAGTGGCGCCCCGTCGCGCTATAGCGGCGGGCCCGCCGTGGCTTCGGCCAGGACGTTTCGCTCGTCTTTCCTTCCTCGTCCAGCACGGGGTGCCGTGATGGCCGGCTGCCACAGCCTCGCACAGTGGGCGCATGGGGCCACGTGGGGAGCGGCACACCCCCGTGGCGGCCCAGACTCTGGGCCGCCACGGGGGTGAGCTTCTGCTCTGGGCCCCAGAGCAGAAGCTCAGTGACTGCGGCCCTGGCCAAGGCGCCCGTGCAGGTACTGACTAGACTCCCGCGTGTGGTCTCTGGGGCCTCTCTTGGGCCCCTCTTGGGGTTCTATTGGGCCGTCTTGGGAGCCTCTTGGGCCGTTTTTGGGGCTATCTTGGGCTGTCTGTGGGCGCTCTTTGGGGCCTCCTTGGCCGCCCTGGGGAGATCTTGGGGGCCTCTTGGGCTGTCTTGGAGCGTCGAAAGTCAGAAGTGCGAGACTTTCCTGCCAAGCAACTAGAGGAACATCACGGATCTTGGCATCTCGTTGTCCTCTTGGGACTGTCGGTCCGAGTGCGAGGACTCTGTCTGTCGCTGGCCTCCGCCGCACGGCCTCGTCAGTCGCGCGTGCCCTCCGCCTGACGTTCGAGGCTGGCCAGGCGTATCGCGGCTTCAGGGCCGTGATCTCAGATGCAGACGCCCCGTCCTGTTCTAGTTAGGCCGTGGCTCTTGCCGAAAGAGCGCCGCAGCTAGCTCCGTAGGCCCTCAGACACGCGTGTCAACTTCGTGCCCCCTCCGTCCTCCCTCCATCCTCTTCTCGCTCTTAACCTCCTGCTACTTCCCTCTTGCCTCCTAACACTCGCTTCTTCTGCCCATTCTCCATCCTTTCTCTGTCCAGCCTCCTCCCTCCCGCCTCCGCCATCCTCAAAACCACCAGGCGATGATGTGGACGAGATCGAGAACGAGTAGCGGTAGTACAGTCAACCCGCATAGTAAGAACAGGCAACATTCCCAAGGGTACCTTTGCATCCTTGCCTCCTCGGTCCATCCTTGACCAGTTTCGTTCGCCGCGCAGCGCTCGAAGAGCTTCGAAATGGCCGTCCAAGGCCCTTGCATCCTTATCGTGCATCCTTATGATACGGGCCGACTGCAGTACACAGACTGCGGCAGTTTGTCGCCGCGTCGGTGCGGCGACGCTGGTGCGGGCGCTCCAGGTTGAATTGCCACTGGCATCCTGAACCGGGCCAGTCTTAAACCAGCTCTGCTGTCGGACTGCGGAGGATGCTCATCGAGCGATCTGCATGGTATCGATTCGAACGTCCGCGTCGGCACGGTAAGACGCAGCCGTAGGTTTCCTGCACGGTCGCCGAAGATGACCGCGTTTTGTGCTTCGCGGTTTGCACCGACGAGTTGACTTTCGGGGGTCGGCGTGGGAGCTTGAAGACAAGAAGGCTTCGCCATTCGCGAAGCTTGAAGAGCGAATTTCGGTGGGCGTCTAGTCTGGAGGGGGATGGAACTGTCAGCGCGTGATGGATAGAAGGCACTGCCGTACACTCATGCCTGCCATGCTGATGGATCGTGCATGCATCTCTCGTGTGTGTGTGCGCGTGTGTGTGGGAGGTCGTCTCTGTAGGCGGCCGTCTCTTACAGGAAAGCATCTGGAGGTCGCGGTGGGCGCACTCACGTGTTCGACCTGGGTGTTACCTCGCTACTTTCGAGGTGGACGATGGTCCATCACCACCGCTTTGGGATGTGGATGCATTTGTCCTTCCTTGGGCCCAGAACTATCCATGTATCCAGTACCGCCAGAAGCTCTGGGAAGTTCGGCTTCCGAAACGGTGGTGACGGATCAATTTCAGTCTCGGATCAGTCGTGGTACAGAGACTCTTGTGAACTTTCAGCAGATGAGAATGATGATAACAACACATAACCATTTATACTACCACCCTCTGGATTAAAAAGTTGTGACCGGCACTATGCGAGAGAGCGATCCCCTGCGGGTTTCGCCGGTCGACTGGCCCTCGAGCCTCCACCATCGATCAACCCCGAGATGACTCCAAGGCAGGCCCGTGAACCGAATGACGGAACGGCTCCGCAGGGCGTGGAGCTCTGCAGCACAAAGTTATGGAAATCATCGCACACGAAATCTTTGTTTTCTGGCGGCATGGAAGGCAACCTGCAAGTGCTGTTTGAGGACGTCTGAAGCGAAACGACCACTCTCAGGCGGCATGAACATCGATCTGAAACTTTTTGTGAGGAAGTCCTAGGCAAAATCGCTACTTTGAGACGGCATGGGAGAATTTCAGATCGCCCTGGAAGGCGATCTGAAATTTTTTTGGAAGAAGTCCTAGGCGGAATGCCACTTTCAGACGCCGGCCCCATTTGGCCTTTATAATATTAAAGGGGGTGAGGTATGCGTCTGAAACTCCAAATTCGGCATCAAATCCAACATTGTCCTGGGCCCCATGGCCTAACGGGTGGCCAACAGCGTCTCTCTCTCTCCTTCTCGAACCCCGCCGTCCCAACTTTTTAATCCAGCGGGTTGTAGCTGCCTGCTGCAAATCCGCCATCGCTCCAGCGAAGCTCTCTTGTGTGGCGACTCTTTGAGCACCGCTTAGAAGTCCCTTACATGTGTCAGCTCTCGTCTTCACTTCTTGAGGAGCTCTCATGGGGCCAATTCGTGTCTTCTTGGGGCTATCTTGAGGCTCCTGTATGGCAGTCTTGAGGGTACCTTCGGGTTTTTGTTTGCGCTGTCTTGGGGCCTTCTTGGGCCGTCTTGCGGCTCTCTTGGTCGCCTGGGCGGTCTCGTGGGGCCGTCTTTGGGTATCTTTGAGCCCTCTTGGGGCCATCCTGGGGCTCACAGGGGGATCCATTGGGCCCTCGAAGGCCGCACGTGAGCCGACTTCGACCGAAGAGCGTGGAATGCGAAAACAATTGAGCAACTGACGTAACACATAGTTTTTGGCTTCTCGAAGGCCTCCTTGAGAGTATTTTGTGGTAGTCATGGGTCCTGTCGGAGGCCTCGTTGGACATATCGGGCGCTTCCTTTGGGGCTTGTGGAGTCTCTTGAGGCACTGTTGGGCTATCTTGGCGGCCTTGGTGGTCTTCCTTGGCCGTCTTGAAAGCCTCGGAGTCTTGGAGAGCCCCAGGGAGGCGCCTGAGCGTCCATGAACCCTTGAGTAAGGGGGGATGCGCGCAGCACGTTGTGATGGGGGGGGTGGTAGACTTCTCAGAAAGCTCAGAAATTGCGGGCCTTCTCAGAAGGCTCAGAAGTCCTCGGGCCTTCTGATAAGCTTTCTAAGCCTTGTCCGGAGCCACAAAGGGCTTCTCAGAAGGCTGGAGGGCATCTGAGAAGCCTGCAGCCTTCTGAGAAGGCCTGCTCCCTCTCACTCGCCCCCTCGGCCCCCCGCCGATTACAGAAACCCAACCAGACAGCACCTGGCATGCCTACCACTCCCCCACATGCTAGCGGTCACGGTGGCGGATAATCCTCCTGAGAGCCACCCGGGGTCTGAGCCAGGTCGGTGCGAGAAGGCGGAAGCATGGGTGCAGCAGGAGGAGAAGGATCCCCCGTCCATCCATTCGTCTTGTAGATACCTCTTCACTGCCGCAAGCCCAGACGTGTCGGCAGGGCGGGCCGAGCGTTTCGCCTGAGTTTCCACACCAGTTATGACCCTGAAGCCTGGACTTTGCAATAGTTTTGCGGATGGAGGGTGGGCCCTTTTCAAAATGTGGCTCTCGCCTTAGCGCCGCGCACATTCGTCTGACAAGGTTGCAACAGTTTCAATGATGTAGGGTAGTTCGTTTTCTGAATGCGGCTTTGGCTTGAACGCCGCGCGCATCCGTTTTAAATGTTTGTTTGCAGCAGCTTCAAGGATGGAGATCCGGTTGTTTTCAAACTGTGGCTCTCGTATGAGCGCCGCGCACATTCGTCTTCAACGATTGAAGCAGTTTCAAGGATTGAGGGTTGTTGTTTTTCAAAATGTGGCTCTCGTTTAGTACCGCGCGCATTCGTTTCATTTTCCTGCTACAGCTTCAAGGCTGCAAGTGGTTGAAGTCCCAGGAATTGTGTTCTGGTTCGATTTAGTATTGTCAGGACGCAATGCTCACATTGATCGGCGGTGTTAGAGTCACAGGAGTGATGTTCTGTCACGGTTCAGGACTGTGAGGACGCAGCGGTCACCGCGATCCGCGGCGTCAGATTTCCAGGATTGGTATTTTGGCACGGTTGAGGATTCTCAGACGTTTGTCTTCTAATGGGCCACTTCTCTTATTGAACATCGAGTTGTTGTCGGGACCTACGAAGAGGGAACTTGGAGGAAGGGTTAATTGCAACATCGTCGATGCGTCTGGGGTTTGCACTGGTCCAACTCCTCCTCCTCACTCCTCCTCCTTCTCCCTCTCCCTCCTCCTCCTCGCCTCTCCTCCCCCTTCCCATTCTGATCTTCCTCTTTATTGTTCTCCTCCCACTGCCCCTCCCCCTCCCCCTCCCCCTTCTGCTCTTCCTCTTCCTCTCCCTCCTCCTTCTCCTCATCATGGCTGCATCTTCTCCTTCCTCCTCCTCCTCCTCCTCGTCCCCGTTGGTACAAGATGCAGAAGAGAGCAGGTTCCACAGGTAAATTACATCACCCTCGGACAGGGAGAACAGTTGGTAGGAGAAGGGGGCGGAAGATGGAGAAGCGCGGCAGTCCTTCACACTGACCGAGCGCCCTGCTCGGGCTCTTTTGGAGGCTGACATACGACAAGTCCGGCGACATGGACTTGGAGGAGTGACGCTTTTTCCGGGGGGTTGTTGCCTTGTTGCTGGCACCGCCCAAGCATATTAATGCTGCGTCTGCGTCGGCCCCGCAAACGCGGCGTTCACGCCAAGAACTCGTAGAATATAACAGGGCTGGACCTAAACGGTGTTTTGGCGATTTCGTGGGCCGTTTTCGTTTCGATGTCGTTCTGTGGTGAAGGCGGATTGAAGACAAAACGAGGGAAACCGAAACCATAACGAACACGAAACACACCGTTTAGGTTCAGCCTTGGAACATAAGCTCCATGGCGGACGCTGTTCGGTCATACCGCTCGGGAAGCGATGCACTACAAGATGCTCGTATTCTATATATGGTCGGTTCGGACGGGCGCCTTCGAGGGGGGCGCACAGTACTGGTATGCACTTCTGCCCTTGGCCCCGCCGTCTCCCTCATCCTACTCCAGCCTGGCCTCCCGCTGCATCTCCTCCTCGTAGGATTAGTAGTAGGAGTAGTAGGAGGAGGATGAGTAGTACTACTACTCATCCCACTCCAGCCTCCTCGTGCTCCCGCTCCTGCTCCTGCTCCTAGCTCCTCCCATCGCTCCTGCTCCTGCTCTTGCAATGGGCGTGCTCGGCATCTCGGCCGCCTCTTCTCATCGTTTTTCCGAGGTACGGTAGGTTCGCGTCGTGTTGATCAGCGGCGACTTCGCCGCCTGCGTTCAAAGTTGAACGCCGCGCCAGCGACCCAGAATCGGTCGATGTTGAACGATCTGACGTTTCGGAAACGGCCGATCGTTCAAGGTTAAGCGGTCCCCGCGGTGTCAGGAACTAACGCGGGGGTCGGCTCGACGCGAACCTGCCGTACCCTCGTGGGTGTCGCGTCATGTGTGGGAAGGCCGATGAGGAGATGAAGTGGCAGTGACGTGGGGTGGTGTGGGGGTGGGGAAGGGAGGGGGTTTATGGCGAGGGTGGGTGAGGGGGAGGGGGCCGACGAGGAGGAGGAGGAGGATGAGGAGGAGAAGGAGGAGGATGATGCGGGGCCGAGGAGGAGAACGAGGAGGATGAGGAGGATGAGGAAGAGAAGAAGAAAGAGGAGGAGAAGGAGGAGGAGGAGGAGGAATAGGAATAGGAACCTGGGGATGCGGTGTCCCTCGACCGACGCGCGCGCCGCGACGGGGCCGCCCGCCAACCCACCTCTGGCGGCGGCCCCGCCCCCTCGACAGACGACGGTGAGTGCCGCGCCGAGGCACCGCACAAAGGCGGGAGGGTTTCCCAGGGCAATCCCGAACCTATGCGAACCGGGAGAGGGCGACCAGCGCCTCTGGCACGAACATCAGGAAGAGCTCGTCGAGCACCGTCTGCTCCTCGCCCAGTCGAACTGCTCCCGCAACCAGCCCATGTGGACTGTGCTATTGCAGCTCTGGCAGACGACCATCGCAGTTCTGTGAGTTATACTGTCCATGCACGGCTCGCATGCCAAGGCGTCATCGCCGTCGATCGGGCTCGACGCCTTGCGAGGAAGAAGACGGGGCGACAGGCACACAGGGCAGAGGCCGCCCAGCATCGCCGCGAGGATGTTGGCCGTGGACCTCCCCGTCTGGATAACGAGGGTTGCCGTCCGCTGCTGCCGCGCGGAGAGGTTATCAAGGTCCTGTGTCCTCTGGAAACGATTCCTGCTCCTCCTGCGCCTCGTTGCCGTCGTCGACGGTCGTGTACTCGCCCACGGATGTCTGCAGGACCCGCTGGGGGTCGACCGTGGGCGCCTCGCTCGGGATAGAGAGGATCAGCCGCTCCAGGGTGGACGCATCGAAGGCGTCGCGCTGCTCTTGCACCTCCTGGGCCGTCGGGGTGGCCTTGCACTCGACGTCAACGTCCGAGCTCGTCCCGAAAACGGGGCCAGCGCCATCCGAGCCCAGCGCGGCAGCAATGCCGCCAGCCGTGGGGCAGACATCCCCCGCAGGGACCACGAGCCCAGGCTGCGCCAACGCGCCCAGCATCGCATCGATGTCTGCTCCGTGTCGCTCTGGGTGCTGGACCACGCCCTGCACGAAAGGCGGCGCCGCCAATCACCAGGTGCTCCCGCCGTCCCAGAAAGTGCGCACACCTCCAAGCGGACCGTGAGCCGTTCCAGCAACCGCCGAGGGCTCCGCGACACAGACCTCCACGGTGATATCCCAGCCGCCCAACGTGGCTTGTTCTCCGCTTACTGCGCCCTCGCAATCCACAGCGCCCCCCAGCCGAAGCCCCGTCGCCGCCTGCCTCAGGGAGGCCGCGGAGGCTCGGCTGAGATTGCCTGGGACGCGAGCGGCGTGCAGAGCGACGTTACGCCGCAGCCGCTGCAGCGTCGTTGGCACTGACCTGCCAGCAGGGCGGCGAGCGCGGGCGCGCAAGCAGCCAGGCGGTCCGCGAGGCCTTCGCACTCGGCGACCGCGTCGAGCGCCTCCACGGTGGCGTCGACGCCCTCGCGCAGCTCCTTCACCTCGGCGGTGAGGCGCGCCACGAGCCTATCCGACGACGACTTGGCCCAGGCCCTGCGCTCGCGCCGCGGAGTCGCCTCCAGCTGGCGCCCTCCAGGGGCGCCTCCCGCAGCCATCATCTCGTGAGCCGAAATCCCTGGCCCCCCAAAGGCCCTCACGCCCGCCTGGGATGGGGGTACGCCGAGGGACAAGGTCCAGGAGCAGGGGGCCTACGGAAAGGCATGAACCAAAATGCCCACAGGAGGAGGAGGAGCAGGAGGAGGAGGAGCAGGAGGAGGAGGAGGAGGAAGAGGAGGAAGAGGAGGAGCAGCATGAGGAGGCGGAGGCGGAGGCGGAGGCGGCGAAGGAGGAGGAATCTGATGATGATGATGATGATGATGATGATGATGATGATGATGAGGATGAGGATGAGGATGAGGATGAGGATGAGGATGAGGATGAGGATGAGGATGATGAGGATGAGGATGATGATGATGATGATGATGATGATGATGATGATGATGATGATGATGATGATGATGATGATGATGATGAGGAGGAGGAGGAGGAGGAGGAGGAGGAGGAGGGAGGAGGAGGAGGAGGAGGAGGTGCGAGGAGGAGGTGCGAGGAGCCTGCCGCTGTCCTGCACGGCGTGTGCTCTGTGCCGGCCCCATGCGCTCCCGGGCCCCCCGCCAGGGGGGGCGAAGAGAGGCTCGCGCGGCGCCCTCCGCGGCCTGTGCTGCCGCTTGGTCCTCTGCACCGGGAGGGCAGCGCGAAGGGGGCGCCAAGGGGTGGGCGCGCGTCGCGCCCCGCGCGGCGCGGGAGCGCGAGCTCGTGGGACTCGGTCCTGGTGGCACTGGACGCGCCGCGTCGTCTCCCGCACCTCGGCGCGCTCTCTCCGCGCCCGCCTGGGCCGGAAGCGGAGGAGGTGGGCGACAGCGACGGCGACAGCGAGCGGAAGGGGTCAGAGGGGAGGGCAGTTCTGGGGCTCATTTGCGGCAGCACATGCCTGATTCGATCGTTTGGTGTGTTTCTTTCTGCCAAATCGTCAATCACCCTTCGGGTATAGCCAGTCCCCGGTTATGGGGAGCCGCTTAGTGATTGGTCCCCGAAGCCCAAAATCTGGTTTGGAATCACTAAACCAAGTCTGCTGTAGCTGATGTTTTTCGGGTGACGGCAATTCCGGTTAGAGGAATGGGACGGGGGGGCGCCCCCCGGTACACATCATTAAACCAGGTCCCACTAAACCCAGTCCTGTCAATGCCCTCATCGTCGTTCGAATCACTCGTGTATCATATGTCATGGCCGTTCTCGAGGTCACCGATGTTTTCAATGATTAACGTCCTCAAGTATTTCAATGCTGAGTCCCGCCGGTCGCATTTTTTCCTCTCAGGACTTTGACATGGACCAGTTCATGAACATGTGGGTCGGCGAGATGATGGAGGAAGCCGACGGCAACGGAACGATGCCTCCGCAATTCGGAAGGTCGTCGTCGAGGGCCACTGTTGTGAAATATGACGTCTTAGGAGGGCATCTGGTAGCTCTGGCGGCGCTTTTAGAACTTGCAAGCTGCGTTTCGTGGGCCTCTGCTTTGACAGCGGCTGCAGAACCAGATATCGATACTCCTGCATATTCGAGCTAGCTGTCCAGATCTGGTGGCGCACTCGTATCATCGATGTGTATTTTGGAAACCTGAAATCTCTGAAGTGGAGGCTGCAGCGGGGGACTCTTTCAGCACAGGAAGACAAAATAATAGCTTTTGCCCCTCAGTCTTTTCCCCTTCTCCTTTCCATGCTTTTGCTGCTACTACGGCTCCTTCTCCTTTTTTCCTTCACCTCGCCCTTCTGTAATTCTTCCCCTTTTTGCCTCTTCTCTCGGTTTTTGGCGCCGAGGAAACGACTGGGCCGATAGGGCCATCTCACTCGGCGCGTCTTTGCACCGTGTCGGTTCGGAGGAAAAGCGTAGGCAGGTGGCCCATGTAGTTGCTGTCTCGATAGCCGTTCTTGAGCTGTCAGTGAAGCTGATGGGTTTCAGCACGTCACACATCCGCGAGGTGACCTCGGCCAGGCTGAACTGAGGCTGCTTGCGCGCCCTTCCCCCTGCCTGAACCGGCAGCGCGGAGCGGGAAGGGGCGCTTCGACACGTCGACCCGACGCGCCCATTCCCGCTTCGCGTTGCCCGTTCAAAACCTCCTGGCCGAGCTCACCCGCTGTTCCGCACCACCCGCCAAGCCACACCAACCCAACCCGAAGGTCTCAATTTGCCCTCCATTCCCAGTGTGTGTGGGGGGGGGGGTCGGGGAGCATTAAAAACACATATGCAGCCCGTACCCCTCACCCCCAACCCGAAATTCGGGTCTTCGGGTTGGGTTAGGGGTGGTCTGATAGGCGCCACTTCACTCCACGCTGTGTTCGGGGTGCGGTGCTCCCCCTGCGTGTGCCAACTCGGTTGCCACGCCCTGTGCCCTCCTCCGTCGCCAGTCGGGCCCAGAGAGCGGGTCACACTGCCCTGCTGTGCGCCGTGGTGCCGTCAGTCTTACGTCGGGCCCGTCCCTCTACGGGAGGAACATTCAAGAGCAGTCCCAAAGTCGCCTGGGCGGAATATCTTGTCGCCTGTCTCCAAATCTTCGCCCCGAATCCGCCTGCAGGAGGACACGCCCGACCTGAGGTCAGCCACGGTCGCGTAGCAGCCGCTGCCCGGCCCTCGCCCGCCCGTGCCTCGGGGGAGGGGGGAGGCGAAGCCCCTCGCTGCCCGGGAGGGCGCCCTCTCCGATTTGGGTCGTCTCCGGCGCGGCTCCCAGCGCCACGCGGCAAGCTGGGGCCCGTGCGCCCCAGTCGCCGAGCCGGGCACCGTCTGGACCGCGCGGCCTCCCCTCTTCTCTCTACCCTCCCTCCCTTCCTCCCTCCTCCCTCCTCTGCTCTCTCCCTCTTCTTCTTCTTCTTCTTCTTCTGTTTCTTCTTCCTCTCTTCATCTTCCTGCTGGATTCAAGCTCCCCCTTGCTGGATTCACGCCTCCTCGGATACTAGTACCTCCTGTCATTCAGTCAATCGGCTCCTGTTTGACGCTGCGTCTGTCGAGTCCAGTGCTCGCCCTGTTGACAGGAGCGTTGGGACGGGTCGAGGAGGAGCTGGAGGGTGAGGAGTACATGGAGGAGCGATGTGATAATGATGAGCGAGAGGATGACGATAACGATTGTGATGCTGCTGCTGCTGATGATGACGATGGCGATGAAGATGACGATGATGATGATGATGATGATGATGATGATGATGATGATGATGAGGATGAGGATGAGGATGAGGATGAGGATGATGATGATGCTGATGATGAGGATGAGGATGAGGATGAGGATGATGATGATGCTGATGATGCTGATGATGATGATGAAGATGAATACGCATCTGAAAATTATGGTGATGATGATGCTAATGCTCATGCTGGTGCTGCCGCTGATGATGATGCTGGTGATAATCGTGAAGATGATGATGCTGATGATGATGATGATGACGACGACGACGACGATGATGATGATGATGATGATGATGATGATGATGATGATGATGATGATGATGATGATGATGATGATGATGATGATGATGATGATGATGATGATGGTGGTGGTGGTGGTGATGATGATGATGCTGGTGATGGTGATGGTGTTGGTGATGGTGATGATGGTGATGGTGATGATGGTGATGGTGATGGTGATGAGGAGGAGGAGGATACTGAGGAGGAGGAGGAGGAGAAGGAGGAGAGGAGGAGAGGACGAGAGGAGGAGGAGAAATAGCAGGAACACGAGGAGGAGGAACGAGAGGAGGATTAGAAGAAGAAGGAGCGACGGGACGAGGAGGAGGAGGACGAGGAGGAGGAATAGGAGCAGCAGGAGAGCCATGAGGACACAGGACGTCAAACGAGGAACCATAGGGGAACGAGGAGGAGGAGTCACGGTCAATCAGTTCTGATGGGCCGTATCGCTTGCGAGCGCGTGGTCCGTTGGTAGGTGTAAGGGGAGGATGGTCGTCCCTCTGCCAGGATGGCGGCGTCGTCGACGACATGATGAGGGAGGTGCTGCCGTGGACCGACGACGACGACAAGATGAGGCAGTTCGTGGAAGAGAAGACGCAGAGCAAGGCTCAGCACAAGTTGACGAATAATAGTAATAATGAACATATGAAGAATAATACGAACATTCAGAACCAACAGTATCAACATTATAAAACATTATTAAACCATACTGCGAACATACACAGCATAACAGTAAGAACCTACATTATTAAAACAATGATGACAATACTAATAATATTAGTGCTGAGGCGAACCATGTTAGGAATATCATTAATCATAGTGGTAGTACTAGTTAGATCTGTCGGTATACGAATACCACTACTAATACTTATTAGTAGGACTCTTATCTTTTAATCATTTTCAGACAACTATAATCATACTACTAACAATCGTATTCGTCGGAATAGCCGTAGGCCTTCGGAGGCCTGCGCGGATCTTTTTGACCTGCCCTGAACCCTTCCCGTCGCCACCCCTGGTTCGCTCCGCGCGCGAGGGAGGGGGTCCACCGCCGATCCAAGAAGTCAACGCGAACCTCCGACATTTATTTTACTCTGTCTCTCTTCCCATCAGACATTCACCGGTTGTGTATGTGTGACTCAGCACGCGGGTTATCCGGAGGATTCTGCATTGTGCCCTGGCGAGGCCACGGGGCTTACATCGTTGCTGTCAAGCCGGTCCTCGGAGATTTCACGTGATCCATGTGCCTGGCTCTTGAGGTGCAATAGTACATTCAAAGCTTTCTTGGATGTGGCCCACCACTTGCACTTTTGTTTGGGAAGGGGCTCAATGCTCTCCAGGTTCTTCCGTGGGTTCTCCTCTGGCGCTCCTGGTGCATCTCGCCGCCACTGAGGCCAGAAAAGTGGTTTCGTACCTTACCTACAGTTCCTTCCCAATTTCCGCCTCCCTCCCTCTCTTCCGCTCTCGCTCGCTGGTTCCAGCAAAATGGCCTCTGAGGTCTATGCAAAGTCACGCAGCTTCAGGACATGGATAAGTCGTTCTGGATTCTGAAGCCTCCTGGGGGGACGGTGCCCAGTGCCGCATACTGTCAACAGCTGCAGTATCAGTGCAGCGCTTCATCCGAGCTGCATCCTTGTCTCCTCCCTTCCGTCCCTTCTTGTTAGTGTGCCGCTGAAGCTGTTTTCTGCATCAGCGCTCACGCTTCTGGGTCCGTATCTTGAACCTTTACGGTTGATGTTGACTGTGCACCTGCGGACTGCGAGATGGTGGGAAGGTTTCTGTTGTTTCTCCTCTCGCTATCTCTCTCCCTCTCTGTCTCCTTCTCTCTAACTCTTTCTCTCCGTGTCTTTAGGTGTCTCTATGTATAATTTTATTCATTCTTCTCGCCCTCTCTCTCTCCCTCTCTGTCTCTCTCTGCGTGTAACTCTAATTATCGAATTTCCTAGCTCTTTAAGTCTCTCTCTCTCTGCATGTTTCTGTATATGCCGATGTATATGTGTATGGAACGGTACATGTATATGAAAATGTACATATCTATGTATATATAGATGCATATGTATATGTATATGTATATGTATATGTTTATGTATATGTATGTGCATATGTACATGTATATGCATCTGTCCAGGTATACGCACCTGTATGTGTATGCGTATGTGCATATGTATATGTATGTGTACAGGTTCCTGTAAACGTATGCATATACGTACATATATGTATGTTCATGCATATGTATATGTTTGTGTAACTGTATGTGCATTTGTTTATATCTGCGTAAGTAGAGGTATATATCTATGCACTTGTTCAGGTGCATGTGTATGTGCATCTTTGTGTATCGGCATATGCATATGTATATGTTTGTGTTTATGTAACTGTGTATACATACACACGCACGTACACGTGTATGCATACATGCTCACCTATATAATCATTTATACATGTAGATACACATGCATATGAATGTGCGTATGTATATGCACATGTATATGTATGTGCATGTGTATACGGATGCGTAGAGGTAGTTGTACATGTTTACATACATATTTGTATATACGTGTATGCAGCTATACAGGTAGATGTTCAGGTATATGCATATGTTTATGTAGATGACATTGGATTTGCATGTGTACATTCATGTATATGTATGTACGTACATGTATCTGTGTATGTACACGTATGTGTTTATCTTTGTGTCTACATATGCATGTAGGTAGGTCGATATGTACGCACGTAGGTAGGTCGGTATGTATGCAGGTATGTACGAGCGTATGTATATATGCATGCGTGCATGTTTGTAGAACTATAGTTATGTACGCATGTTTGTCTTGTTGTTTAATTGCTTGCT